GATCGAGTTTCAAATCAAACGCCCCTATTATAGCGACGTCTAGGGCTGGTGTTAGTTTTATTGGAAAAAGATAAATAGGTATATGTAAAGATCAATATAAAAGAGAAAGAAAGTCATATATATGTAATTTAAATGGACCACCGAACAAATTTTCCCATTAAGTTATACGTCTCTGTTGCCTCTGCCCTAGGTTACTAGTTGTATCTGGTAGTTATTAATACAGGGTGTTTCATCTCAGACGAGCCACCCCGTATATTTCTTATCCCATAGTAATTGGAAAAGTTTCCCGAAACACGTCGCATGATTTTCTTTGGGGGACATCTTTTGAAGTATATTTGAGGCTTGAACGAGCAACCCCCTATGAGGGGACGCTTCAACCCCTCAAAATTGAATAGGGAAAATGGGTTGAGTGATACTTCATTTCTAAGGTCTTGGAAGCCTTTTTACAACGGGGTATGAAAAAAATTACATTCTTAAAAAAAATTAATTGTTTTTTCATGCTTACAATCAAAAAAATCAAAACTGCGTTTTTAAATCAAATGTTCAAATTGTCCTCTATTTTTATCTTGAAATGCTGGAAAATGCGATTAATCCGTTAATAACAGAAAAATTAGAACATAATCATCTACTAATTGAACAACAATTGCATTTCCAACAAGACGGAGCTCCTCCTCATTACGCCGCACCAGTTCGCCAATACCTCAATTTACAATACCCTGGTCGTTGGATTGAAAGAAGAGGTCCTATGGAGTGGCCTGCTCGCTCTCCTGACCTAAACCCTCTGGACTTCTTCTTGTGGGGACATCTTAAGTCCAAGATTTTTGTAACTCAGCCTGAAAATTTGGACGAACTACGCCAACGAATTGTAAATGAGTATCGTCAAATAACTCCAATTATGCTGGACCATGTTAGAGACGGTTTTCAGTCAAGATTGTATTATTGTATGGAAGTCAATGAAGGACAATTTAAACATTTGATTTAAAAACGCAGTTTTGATTTTATAGATTGTAAGAATAATAAAACAATTAATTTTTTTAAGAATGTGATTTTTTTCATACACCGTTTTAAAGAGGCTTCTAAGAACTTACAAATAAAGTATCACCCAACCCCTCTTCCCTATTCAATTTTGAGGGGTTGAAGTGCCCCCTCATAGGAGGTTGCTCGTTCAAGCCTCAAATATACGTCAAAAGATGTCCCCCAAAGAAAATCATCCGACGTGTTTCAGAAAATTTTTCCAATTACTATGTGATAAGAAATATACGGGGTGGCTCGTCTGAGATGGAACACCCTGTAGACCAACTTATTATTATTATCTTGGTTTTGTTTTTTGACACCCCATTTTTAACGTTCTCATCTCTTATGTGTTACTTACATATCCAAGACTATTCTTTCTACTATAATCGGTTTATGCGCTCATGTCATTTGTCAACCTTTTTTACTTGCTTCTGCATTGGGATTCTCATTTTTGAAAATTCGGCACGTGTTGAAATGACTATCTTCGTTCCACAGAATGCGATTCGTATGTAATCTCTCTCTATTCAATTCGTTACGTGTTGAGTATGCACATAAAAGGGTCCCGGACAATTGATCGAAAAGCATATGATCGAAAACAAATGATCGAAACCATTAGGTCGAATAACATATGATCGAAATTATAAAATATCGAATATTAATTGATAGAAAAGTTAGTGATCGAAACGGCAAATGATCGAATAACAAATGACCGAATAACAAATGATCGAACAATAATTGTTCGAATACCAAGTTATCGAAAAGAAATTGACATTCATTATCTAAAGCTTCGTTCAGACATTTTTCAAATTTGAACATATTTTACTTTTAACAATGTCGCTACACCTCTTATTTGCCACAATTGATAACAACACTCTATATATACCAGTCACGTAGTATAGAGTACAAGACACGTCTAGTTTAGTGCACGCAAAACTAGATTTATTTTTTTACAACTAATTCTCATTTCCATGGTTTTAAAGATGTGTTTGATAGATTCAAATAAAATGTCAATTGTACTTTCACAAAAAGGCAAAAATATGTTCTATTTAGATGGATATTTTTATATAAAGGATAAAACCATCGAATTAACAACTTATTGGAAGTGTGAAAATTGGAGACATGGCTGCAAGGGTCGTTTAATTTGTAAAAATGAAGAGACTCCTCAAAAAAGAAATTACCATAATCATCCAGGACGACCAGAAATGGTTGAGGTACGGGATATTCTTCAAAATATCAAAGATAAAGCTAAAACAACGTGTGAACTTCCCCATTCGATAATAAGTACTGCAACAGCTGGCTCAAGCCACATGGCATGCTGTCATTTACCCAAAATTTCCAGTATGAAGAGGAGTATAAGAAGAATTAGAGAAAAGACAGACAATTATCAAAAAAATCCTGCTAGTATTATGGAATTAAATATACCTGAAGATTTTAAAGTTACAGAAAAAGGGCAGACATTTTTACAATATGATTCTGGTAATAAAAATAACTGTAGATTCATAATTTTTGCAACTGATGCTAATATACGAATTCTTTCTGAATGCAAGCATTGGATTATGGATGGAACATTTAAAACGGTACCTAATCTATTTTTGAAATTCGATCAAAATGTTTTCGATCTAAAGCTATTCGAACAAAAACATTCGATCAAAAACATTCGAACAAATGTCCGGGGCCCCACATAAAAATCCCTGTCCAGATCACGTTAACGGCCATCTTATATCACTTTTGAGTAGCACCACACACAGAAATTTTCAAAACCCTAATTTCGCAGTTATAATATTGTTTCAAGTGTTCCTGTGCGAATTAAAATAGGTTTTCGTCTCCTGTTATATGGACTTATACCATCAGGACGATGATTCCAATGTCTTCTTGTTGAGACTCTAGGTTCTGGAATCCTCTCAAATTGCTGCTCACCTCTGCCTTCCCTCGTGCCAGTTTTAACAGGACGCCGTTCCCCTGCTGGCTCTATATTACAGGGGTTGCTATACTTTTACTTTGTCAACGATTCCCATTCTTGGGGTATTTCCTACTTTTATTTCGTTTTCTGTATTACGATGCACATTCATCTAGCATGGTGGACAGAACGTATATCCGCTGGATTTGGATCTGGAATTTTGATTTGTAAAACCACATTGAAGCACTCATCAAGAGCTCAATAGTCGGCTTAGCCGGATGTCTCTTTTTTACTTAATTTTGTCCCGCCTTTTTACTACGTGAGTACCACACTCTTTAAATAATTTTTCCTCGGATTTAATTTCTTAGTTACTCTTACACTACGAAGATTTACTTTCATATGGGTTGATATAGTTTTAAATTATCAAATTGCGTTTTAACATTAATTAATACCTAAATTAGTTATATAATGGCCTCACCATTAAACTTAAAACTTTTTAAATGTCTGATGCTCACATATTTTTTATTTGTGATAGCTTTATTGTTATACTTATTTTGTTAAAATTAAATTGTATTTTGTCACAAATAATTTAAATTTTCGTTTATAAGTATTTGTTTATTAACTACTAAAGATTTGTCAAATAATTTTTTACCTGTTTTTCTACATTATCATTTACTATTAAAATACCCTCAACATTGTTATAGTCTCCGTCACCTCTTTAAGTACCTACTAAGTTAGTAATCTGACAGTCCTATCACATTTTAATTTGTAAATTTCTTATTCTCATAATGATACATGAGAATATGGTAAAATATTTTTTCACTTATAATCAAATTAAGTCTCACTAGCCTACTTTCTTACAGGCGTGATGATGGTCGCTCACCGAAACTAGTCGCTTTTCCTGTTTTCAATAACAATATAGTATATTACATTACGAGTGTGGAAAATCACTTTTCACACAAGTGATGTACAATATTTTTCATACGACCACAAAATAATTTCATCAAAAAATGTAAAACCAGGTTGTTATTACTATAATAATTAAAATGTATTTAAAAAAATAATCAAAAATAATCGTATTTATTCAATTTTCATATTTTCTTAACAAAAAAAAAACAAAAAAAAAATAAAAAAAAATTCTGTCCCTGCAAGGATTTGAACGCGGCCGAACGCCAGGTCTCAAATGGCAAAGTACATAAAGTTTGATTCTCTAACCAACTGAGCTAACAGACCTTGCATGAATTGAATAAAAAGCAAACATAACTTAGTTATTTAAAAATTATTTTAATAATAATTGTTAAAGATAAAAATATAGGATCTAATTTACAACAATTTCAATAATTTAACAATCATATCGATTTTAGTATTAATGTGGACAATACATAGATCAAAATAGAAATGATGGGTTTGACATTTTGTGACAGCTGATGCGGAAAGTAAGCATATTCGCACATGGGTGGAAAGTAAATTCTTATTCATACGCTTGTGATATAGGGAACTTTCCATAAGACTATATAGTGTGATATGTGTCACTTTCTTAATTGGTTGTAGGAAAAATAATTTTGTTCCATAAAATTTCTGGAAGTTTAACCTTCCTGTACGTATGAAAATTTTAAAGGCATCTTTGCTATTTTTTTTTTCATTGTGACAAATTGTTTGGTGATATTTTTACCTCCATCTACGGCGTGACAATTTAAAAATCTAGAATGGCTGTATCTCATGAACTAAAGATGATATTATAAAATGGATAAAACCAATTCTGGGATACGAAGGCAGAACTATACTACAACTATCTCAACTAAATCAATAGTAACTATCTTTGGAAAGCTAGTAAAAAAATTGTTTTCAACGGTATCAGTTATACCCTATACAGCGTGCTTCAGTAGAACATAATAATTAAAAATGTATTTTAAAATATTTTAAATAATTAAAAAAATTTATAAAATATTTAAGTCCAGTAGTACAAAATAAATTGTTTTTATTTCGTTTTTCGCTTTTTGATATCATCTTTAGTTCATAAGATATTGCCATTGTATGTTTCTAAATTGTCACCCCTTGTATTGTGACTAATACTGCATGTTTTTTATAGCTTCAGAAGTTATGGAAGATCCTTCAAAAGTTGATCCTGGATCAAAAGGTAAGTTGCGTTTATTATAAATTATTCATTTTCTAATTTAAAATAAAAAGGATTTATTTCCTAATCTTTCAAAAGATATGCTGACCACTAAACCACTCAAAAGGTGGGATATAGGAAATAATGTATACAAACAAATAAGGTTATGTTAGTTATATAACACACGACATCCGGTTGGTCCAAAACTATCTATGTTTTCGATTTATAGTCAGCTATGTCATAGCTGAGTTTGTTTATCCACATTGGATGCATCCGAGATGTAGTGAATATTTATCACGTGATTCAAGATACGGAAATGTAGTTGAAGCAGATGTGTGCAATGTGAATAAACAAACGCTCGAGAGTTAAGAAATGCATATATATATATATATATATATATATATATATATATATATATATATATATATATATATTTATTTATAGGCCTTGGTGGCATCCCTCCATGTTAAAATTGCGTCTGCCGTGGCATCCACGTCCTCGTGGCATCCGATATACAGATGCCACGAGGACTTTCGATGAAACTCATCGCAAATGAAAGGATCCTACCCCTACTAACTCTCGGCAAAATATTGGCGGGATGCCAAAACAGCCTATTTTTGTATGTTTTTAAACATGGTAGTTTGAGCAATGACCGCAACTGCCGCCACTTTCGTGTGCTGTATATTCTGAGATATATTTAAAGGAGGTAATGGCATCCAATGATATACATATTCATTTTGAGTACCTGGTGGCCTATGTATATTCCGTTTTCGGTTTGATGGCATCCATTTCGTTGTTGCCAGATCTTATATTGGTTTATAACTCAGCCTTTTCATTTTTATAGATTCTGTAACAAACTTTCACTAGGATGAGGCGCCCTTGCGATTTACTTCCGAGAAAATAACATGTGTTTTTAAAGCTATTTTTATTATATCTTTTGAAATATACTGGTTAAATTAGGTACACTTATTCTGTCACTTTTTAAACTGTAATCTGTGAGGAACAGTTTTGTTTTGTATAAAAATTTGCACAGATTTGTCTGCCAATATTGATAAAATTAAAACGCTTTTAATCGTATAAGGCATAAGCTAGGAGAAATTAGCGGACAAACTGGACGGCGATGCTTGAAAATTTCAATATTGTTATTCGCTGAAATCTTTGGTTTAGATGGACTTTAGTGTCATGAAAGTTAAAAAATAAATAAAAATTATCATTTTTAAAATATTATTTAAAACAAAATATAATTTTTATACCGATTAACCGATTAAACAAAATATTAAGACTAACCAATGATTCAAAATATATATTTTTTTCTTTTAAAGTCAGGTTTTTGCCGCCAAACAACTATGGGAGCAGGGAGGGGAAAACACATTTAGCCCAAGATTACAAATACAATTCTTATACTACCAATTCAGTACACTACTTTCAATTAATTAAATCAAAATCATTAAATAGCAAGAACTCCAACACATAATTTTTAGGTCTTTAAAGTCATTCGTATCCGCCGATAAATATTATTCCATCAACTTTTCGTTTGAATTAACTTATTACCTGGAACGTTACATAGTAAGTCTGTTTTTTCTGCCTAGGCAATAAAAATATATCTTTTTAAGTCTTTAAAGTGTCAATAAAAAGCCGCTTTGGGTACAAGAAACAAAGTTTTTTTTTTAATATTTGAAAAATTACTAACTTTTAGTATCTATATAAACGACGTGGAATCATTAATTTTCCTACGAATTTCTTTCAGAACTAAACATATTTACATGTTTTCTTTTCGTTACACCTGACAAATAATGAAACACATCAAACTTTTTTTGTGAAAAACAATTATATTTTTTAAAAAAATATACCTTTATCGCGAGATATAGCGGTAAGTTACAAAATTAAACATATTTTATTCCAACGATTTTGTTGAAAAATCTAGAAATTGTTCAGGTAAACAGTTCCCGAGGTAAGGCCAAACTTTATTCTCGTGTGTTATTTAAAAAAAAAATTTTTTTATTCCATTCTATGACTACCAGTTAACACAAACTTTTTCATAATTTTAAATAATTTTTCAAAAAATCAAAGAAGCGACATTATACTTTCCAATTATACAAGGTTCTCCAAGAAAGTGATACATATCAAAGTTTTCCAAAATGGGACACCTTGTATTTCATATATTTGAATTTTCCTTGCCTTTCATATAAAGGCGGGTACAGATCTGAGCACGTACGCGTATGAGGCAAGCCGAGGCCGAACCGAATGCCTCGTGCGACGCATTTTGTATACACGAATGATGGACGCACGAGGCGCTGTTCGCCACTGATCCAGTAAATTCGCGAGCACGCAACTGTATACCCAGAAAATTCGTAAAATTAAAACAAAAATGAAGGATGAGGATGACGTTGCGGACTTAAGTGCATGCTTTATAATTTTATCCGACACATTAAAGAAAAAAGGAGGCAAATCGATGGCTGATTTCCTGCCAAGGATATCCTTTTTTTATTGTGTTGTTATAGAACTGGAGTTTTGCTCTCTTAAGATATCACGCTGATGATTTAAATCCAGAAGAAGCAAAACGTTTTCCTGGTTCCGTTCCTTGCAAAATAATACTAAAAACTCGCTATAATCTGTACGGTGCTGTATGGTACAAATTCACCGTCCAGACTGAGCACGTACTGCGCATTGCCTCCCTTTGATGTACCGCCATGAAACGGATCGGGGCGAGGCCGTACGGCGCACACAACGAGGCAATTTGCCGCGCCTCGGAAGCCCGTCCACATCTGCATGCTCATGCGTCCTCGGCTTGCCTCATACGCGTACGTGCTCAGATCTGTACCCGCCTTTATAACAATCAAATAGTCTGAGATTATACAGGGTATTTCACACGCTATAACCAGTTTTATATAAAAATCGTACTAATTTCAAAGACGTGTATAGTGCAAAATAAACATTTAAAAACCATTTTTGTGCAGTAAAAGGTTTTCATTATTAGTCAAAAAAATTTACCGATGTATTACTTCTTTAATTTTAAACAAAGCTTTATAGGGTACGTCAATACAAAAAATTTAGTGACTATTTCTATTTGGGACAAATCTATTGAATTCGTTTAATATTATTTTTATTTTAAACAACATTTTTAATAGATAAATGTTAAATTGTCATTTGTTTTATTAGGCAAAAAAGCACAAGATTTAATGTCGTGGCTGGTGTTTCATAGGCGAAGCGTAGCTAAGACTAGGAAACCAGCCAAGGCATTCGGAGAAAAAATGATATGTTCCACATAGCAGAAAATTAGATATAATGCCTTGGCTGGTTCCCTAGTCTCAGCTTGGCTTCCGCTATGAAACACCAGCCACGGCATTCAATATTGTGCTTTTCTGGCTAATAAAACAAATGACATGTATTTATTTAAAATAAGAATAATATTATACGAATTCAATAGATTTGTCCTAAATAGATATAGTTACTAATTAGAAATTAATAAATTGTAATAATATTTTACCAAATATTTACAACATTATTATACTCTTCACACAGTAGTCTGTGAAGAGTATTATATGTTTACTTTTGTCCGTCTGTCTGTCCGTCCGAAGTCACGTTTTTTGTCCACACGATAACTCAAAAACGAAACATGATATCTTCTTGAAATTTATAGAAAAAATCAAACTCTATAAGGGGACAAAGCCTATTGATTTTGAAAAAAATCGGAATAAAAATGAGGGGTTTAAGGGGGGGTTGAAACTTAAAAAAATTATAAATCATTTAGGAAAAATGAAGTTCTATGAGACGACGAGGCCAAATAATTTTTTAAAAATCTGATTAAGAATGGGGGGTTATAGGGGAGTTAAAACTTAAAAAAATCATAATTTAAAAACGAAATATGATATAAATTTGAAATTTTCAGGAAAAATCAAGCTTTATAAGGGAAAAAAGACTATTTTTTTTAAAAATAAATCTGATTAAAAAGGGGGGGTTTAAGGGGGGGTTAAAACTTTAAACAAATCATAAATCAAAAACGAAACATGATATTTACTTGAAATTTTAAGGGAAAATCAAGTCCTATAAGGGGACAAAGTCTAGTGAATTAAAAAAAATTAATAAAAGTAGGGGTTTAAGCGGGGTTTAAATGTAAAAAAATCATAAATCTAAAACGAAACATGATACCAACTTGAAATTTAAAAAAAATCAAGCTCTATGAGATGACGAAGTCTCTTGATTTTTAAATAGATCCGATTAAAAATGGGGAGATTAGTGGGGGGTTGAAACTTAAAAAAAATCAAATCAAAAACGAAACATGATATCAACTTTAAATTTTCAGGAAAAATCAAGTCCTATTAGAGGACGAAACCTATTAAATTTTTTAAAAATCTGAATAACAGTAGGTGGTTAAGTTGGGTTAAAATTAAAAAAAAATCATTCATCTAAAAGAAGTATTATATCAACTTGAAATGTTTAATAAAAATCAAGCTCTATAAGGAGATGAAGCCTATTAATTACTAAAAGAAAAAAATCTAAATAAAAATTGAGAAGCCTATTTATTCCCAAAAAAAAAAAATGTTTATAAAAAAATCGCTAGTTAAGAGGGTCTGTTAAACTGTGAAGAGTATAATATAGAATGCCAAGCATTATATATCCTCATTCTAAATTTAAAATTGCTTTATTGCTCTTTATTTTATGTATTCGATACATTTTTTGTCTCGATAAAAACATTTTTACTTTTATTCGCTGAAAAACGTTTTTTAAAATAAGAACAATAACATATACGAAACCAATAAACACATTTGTCACAAATAGGTAGTTACTAGTTAGTACTTTATAAATTTTAATAATATTTAACCATTTATTTGAAATTTTCTTTTTACATTTTTTTATTACTATTTCTTATGTATTTATTTAAATTGTCGTTTCAATAAAAACATTTTACACATATTTAATAAAAAATAGTTATTAAATTTTAAGGATATTGTAAAAAAAAATTTCAATCAATAAATTACAGCTAGTAAAATTCTAATCACTAATTAACACACAGTCTATTTCCA